TTTATTAATTGTCTATATTTTTTTTAATAAAATTTCCTATTTTAGTTAATTTTATTAATTTTATGTGATTTCTTATCACATAATATAAACTACCTCAAACACAGTACATTTTTAAAGGAATTGTAAGGTCCATTCCAAAAGCCTAATGTAAACCTCCATTGTCCGTTCTAAAATATGTTTGGGATCAATGTCCAAGTTGTGTAAAAGTTGAAACCACCAAGCTGCTGTCATGAGTTGAAATTCAGTTTGGATGTAGAACCTTATCCTCATTACTCCATTTACTGTGAGCAATATATCTGTACCCATAACAACAACAAACAAAACTCAACTATGATGCTACTACCGCCATGCTTGGACAATGTTTTTGAAAAGCTCACTTTGAATCCTTCCGTTCAAGATCTCAATGCAAGTCTGTATAGAAATGTAAGTACAGTCTGAACACTGGATTTTATTTTTTATTATGTATAATTCATGGATTGATTGCTGTTGAAGAAAACAAATTTAAAAATATTTATAATATAATGCCCAACATTTAAAGAGAGGTTAACAAATGTGTGCCTACATGGCTGTAAAATGTTTCTCATTGTTTCATCAATAGTCAGCATTAAATAATCACTTAGATTAACTTTGCCAACTCATCCTCATATGGGTGAAGCAGATTTAGATTTTGCGATGATCTTTGCGTACTCCTGCCCAGACTGGTAGATGGTTCGACTCAGTTCAGCATCAGAGAAGTCCACATGGAACAGGCCAAAACGAACGCTGAATCCATCAGCCCATTCAAAGTTGTCCATCAGTGACCATGCAAAATAGCCACAGACATTCACCCCATCCTCTTCCATAGCTAGACAGAAATAAATAATGTAGACATGAGTTTGCAATATAGGACATTTCGCTTATGTCTTTTGATCTTTCTCCTGTTGTGTCAAACAAGTCAGAAAGTTACAAACATGAAGATTTAATCAAAACAATGGTAAGACTATGATGTAAAGAAAGAATAACTGATGCCTGCTTAGATGCTTATCTCTATGCAAACTGCATATTATCACTGTTGCATACTGTCGAAAAACACGATGTAGAAGCTCTGTGACTCTCTGCACTTCATCAACTTTACCAATCCTCTTGTATTAAATGATGCTTTAAACATCTGCATGTCATAACCCCGTCATCCCCACTTAATGTTAATGTTTACTGCACTCTTTTTTTCTTTTTCTTTGTTATAACACAGAAAATGATCTACCTTTAGCCACTTCCGAGATGGTACTTTTGTAAAACTCGCATCGGTCTACATCCTCGATTTGCGCTGGGCCAACCTGAGCGAAGCCATTCTCTGTGATGTAGACTTTGGGGTTGTTGAAGACATCCTGGAAAATCACAGAACAAATGTTTTTTGTCAATAACGCACCGCAGTTGTCAGGTACTCAGAGAGGAGACAGATTGGCAGCATTTTTAACAGTGCCAGATTCAAGTTAATGGCCTGTGACAAGGCACAACTGCAGGAAATTGCTTGTTTTGCCAACAGTTATTTCCAACAAAGTAACTCTTTAACACAATGTGGCAGCATTAACTAAGCATCAGTATGCCCCCGGTGGTGTCTAAAAGAGAATATTGGAACAGATGTTTTTATTGTACCTTAATATATTTAAGAAGTTTTCTTAAGCCACATGGGACAACAGCCAGCCAGGACACCCCACAGACGGGCCAGGATGGATCTAAGACCTCCTCTACATTCAAGTCCCTCTTCATACTTAACATCTGGTCACCGCAACCTCCTGATGTGACCTTACGAGATGTATAGTAGTTTAGGGCAAAAAAGTCAGCTGTTCCAAGCACTGGAGGGTCATCCTTTGAGAACCTGGGGAGTCTCATGTCGCCGCTGTATCCCATCATCTTGGACTGAGTTTCTATGGCAGATCTCATTATATCCGGATAGTCTCCGGTCACAAAAATAGGCCAGGCAAACCACCCCAAGGTGAAGGCGAGGTCACGTTCGGCAGAGGTGACGTCCTCGTGGCAGCTTGGATCTAATGGCTCAAACCAGTCGCTGTTGAGCGCCAGAGATACTTCCCCCTTCTGTGTTGCTCTGTACACAGAGTTGTAGCTGTGCCAAGCCATGGCATGAGCTCGGAGCATGTTATGCCCCACCATGTAGGCCGCAGTGCCTTTTTCTTTTAACCCTGGAGCGTGGAGGCCTACTTCATGACCTAGTTTGGCACACGTGTGTGGCTCATTGATAGTAATCCAGAGTTTGACACGATCCCCAAATGTTTCGAAGCAAAACTTGGCATAGTCGTTAAACAGGGCTGCTACACCAGGTGACTTCCAGCCCCCAAGGTTTTGGATTGCTTGGGGCAGGTCAAAGTGGTACAGAGTGACCATCACGGACACTTTGCATGCCAGTAAGTCATTAATCACTCTGTTATAGTACTGTACACCTGTTGGAGAAACATTCAAAAATCATTATTTTTATACTTGAATTTTTTTCTGCCATAGGTCGTTTTAAGAATACAGTATTACCTCTCTGGTTAACATTCTTGGGCGTCCCATCAGGCAGGAGGCGGGACCAAGAAAAAGACAGGCGGTAGTGTGTTAAGCCAAGCTGCTGGATACACTCCAGATCCTTATTCCAGAGCTCGTAGCTGTTACAGGCTACGTCCCCATTTTGATTTTCAAAAACTCCACTCTTTTCATGACAAAATGTGTCCCAAATACTCGCCCCCTTTCCATCAGCCTGCCATCCACCTAAAAAAAATATTCACATTTAAATAAAAGGAGAGATTGAATGTACTAAAATCCAGAGAAACATATGTTCTGTTAAAGTAGTTGTTTTTTTATCTTAAATTTAATAGAACTCTAAATTCCTTTTATGTAATTTTACTCGTCGCAAGTCTTTGACAAAGTTACTTCTGAAAGCCTATATGACCTATAATTTGTATAAAGAGAGTAGTCAGTCATTCCTGGATCATTAGCAGCTAGTGTCTTATAGTTTTTACATGAACTGTTTTGGCAGAGATAACAACTCAACCTATTAATGGTCTAAATACACAGATTTCCAGCTATACAACACTTTCAAACTTCAGTGTTGCCTTTTAGAGTTCTCAATTGTTTGTTGTAAGATTATTTTTACTACATTAAGTTCAATTTAATTCACTGAGGTAAAATGGCCAAGTGCTCCAAGATCTAAACAGAAATCAATAGGTGAGCACATCGTTGTAATTGTTCTAACTATTTTACAGAGCTGGTTACCTACTCATATGGGAACTGCTCAGAGCACTTTAGCTTTTTCCTTTTTTTATCCAGGTCCCTATATCTGTTGAAGCAGACGGTGGTCGGTACCAAGCTGGATTATGTTGGTAGTGAGTCATTCCTTTCCACTTTTGCCAGATGTTTGCTCAGTATGATAGACTGCTGCAACTTCAATCACTCTATGTGACCTAATGAGCTTCCCTACTACATTTAAATTAAAACAATGATCTGAATTCATACTTCATTCATAATTCATATTTTCAATTTTTGATTCTGTTTCTACACAATTTTCTTTGGTTCTAGAAAGTAGCTTCAGAAGACACCAATATAAATAAACTGAATTCAGAGGCGTAGGCAGAACATTTTCATAAGGGTGGCCAGGCAATAGCCAATGTACACTTAGGGGTCAATCAGGGTAAATCTACACTGTTTCAACAGGAAAATCAACAAGTAAAACATCCATATTTACAAGATAAAGACAAACTATAGTTTCCTAAAGCCTTTGCTAACAAACAGATGCATATATTTCAACATCTGTGCTTTCTAAATAAAAGGTATAGTGGATAAAACTCTTTCAGTTTTGAGATTTGGAGCGTAAATCTTTTCCATTGTCATTACTTACCTACTTGTATCAATAAACATTCTGCACTAATATCTACATAAATTGATTATTTGATAAGTTTTTATTAAAATTGTTATTTATCTATGGTTTTACCGAAGACTCCCAAATGACTTGCAGACACATTTTCTCTTCACCCCATATAACACCAAATCTAGCTTTGAAAAGAGCATGAATTCTGTACTTATCATAATTGATCTTAGCATATTAATGTGTATAATTAACAACAAAAATTTTTAATGTTTTGAATATTCCACTTGAGAGCATTACTGCTGCCACCATCTGTATTTGAGGGGAGAAAATGGTAGGGGTGGCCAATGATTGGCTAAGGGTGGCCATGGCCCCCCCTGGCCCCCCCATCTAGGTCCGCCCCTGTCTGAATTGAACTTAACTGAAAATCAGGTGCAGCTTGACATCTCCAGCGATACATCCATCTATCTTGCTTATTCCTATGGATGGGAGGTTGGGTACATCCTGGGGTACACACTGGTACACGCTTGACATCTCATTATTTCAATTTTCAAAACCAATATGATTTTTTTTAATGTCCTACATAGATGAACTCCTGGTTTTATGATCTATGTTCATTGGTTTTACTTTATTATAGGATTTTTTTTTTTTTTTTTGTGGTTCAATTTTTATAACTTAACTTGGCCTAGTTGTGTCTTATCATTTCTGTGCAGCACGCTGGTGGCTGATTTTTATGGTGCAATTTAAATAAATCCAACTGTATCATTTGCATTACTCAACTGTCAGAACACTTGTCTTTAACTGTCCGTAGTATCCTCTATCTAATCTATTAGAAAAGTAGGTTATGTATATTTTTTAAATCAGCATGTATTTTCTTACAGAGAATACATCCTCACATAAATAGGGTACTTTTGTTTAAAAAAAAAGTCAAATTATCGTGTCTGCGTTTACCTTCTATTTGGTAAGCAGAGGTTGCCGCTCCCCAAACAAAGTCTCGCGGGAACATGTTTCCTTCACTTTGAAAATCAGATTGAGCAGCTTTTGTCGCTGCTTTTAGCGATGAGAGGTTAATTATCTTTCAGTATTTCCGTCGAAATGTGTCAGCTCTCACTCAGAGTTTGTTAAGATGAGAACACGATTCTCTGTCTTAGTGATGTCATGAAATGAGCCGAGGCTTCGAGGCGCGTGTCAAGGCTTGTTCACTGATCTGTAACTGGATTGCGGATTGCCCAAAAAAGTGAAGCCACCGGCCGCCATGTTGGTACTCCCTACTCCCACGGAGATACGCAGTTAAAATGCAGTTTGCTGGCTGTGGGAAGAAGTTTCACAGGGAATTTAGACTCAGTAGATGTACTAACCAAGAAAATCCATATATACCCTGATTTATCATATATATTAAGTAGTGTAACATTAGTGCAACACTGTGTCTAACGTTAGAAAACAGAAAGTAGTTCACTGTGAAATATCAGCATAGTGATTCTTTATTAAGTGGGTGATGCTGTTTTTTTCTGTACTGTTTCTGTTGTATTTCTCATTTGGAAAAATCATTTGTTGAAATATATGACATGTTATATTGTCGGGAAAAATTTAACTCAAACATTTTTAAAGGCCAATGCACAGCATAAAAGTATATGGCATCATGCATGCACAATTTGCAAATAGGAAATTACTACAGCATTAGCAGACATGTACTTGTAATTCAGTCTTGATGTAAAATTTTGAAATTATATGCAATATGTTATAACAACAATAATGTCATCAATACATATTTCAGTGTTGTTATGCTCCGTTAACACATTCATTTTGTTGTAATGGATTTGTAAAATATTTTACATGATTTAAAGACTTCATTGACTGCATATTGACTATGGAATGTGATGTGCCTTTTTTATTTTAAGTTAAAGTAATCTACTTATGCTATGAAACAGGAAACAGTAAGTGTGTCAAAGTGATTAATTTATCTTTATTTTAAAAGTCTTAAATCCCCCTTAAAATGAGAACATCATCTGTGTTTTATGCTGTAGCGCACGTATTGTTTACATTGCGACCGGTCTAACTAGGGAGTACTAATATGGCCGCCGGTAGCTTCACTTCGACCCCGTACTACCAAGGGGCAATCAGCAATGCAGTGAGTAAATGGAGATCAGTGGGCTTGCTTTATTTGGGGGAGGAACCAAAATAGATGACGTCGGAAGCCCCGCGTACCATGTGACCGCTTCGGGAAGTTGAGTTTGCAGGAGAGTTGGATAGAGTTTGAATATATTCTAAGAATAGATTGGTTGGAAAAACAACTAATGTAGTTGGTTAAAACTAGTTTGGTTAGAGTAAACAATGTAATGATCAAAATCTAAGCAGGCCACTGGTAAAATAAGTAATGGGTTTTAAATATTATTGTTGTAGTGGTGTCAGTTGTAAGAGCTGGTCTTCTGCACCTGTGATCAATGGTTCAAGACCCTCCCCAGACTTTTAAAGGTGGCGATAAAACAGTATTTTGGTTAATGTGACTAATTTGTATTGGTTTGCCCTTATACAAATATATATTACGGTAAGTAAAAACACTACCAAAATAAATTGGTTAGTTTAACCAAAAGATTGGTTGAACACATAACTTCCAACCCGATTAAAAAACTGTGGAAAAACTATTATTTTTCAATAAAAATGACTAACACCTCTCATTTTCCTCATCATTGCCCAGTTTGCACACTTTCACTGTCTGCTTGAGCTTTTTTTCCCAAAAATCGCAGAAAAACCAGTGTACCTTAAATTATTTTTCTCTTCTAAGATATTTTACACACAAAAAACCTTCAAAGGATTTTATTATACAGACCAATCATAAACAATTTCCGGAAAGGGGGAAAAAAAAGCAAGAAAAACACAGATAATATTACTAACTGTAGTTCTGCACTCCACCAGTAGGTGGTGACATGTTCACATGAAGCTTCATGAACTGTTGGGATTGTTGAAGCAATTTTGCCATAGGTTCAAAAGCCTCATGAGGCTTCATCTCACCATCACTACTTTGTCCTAAAAATGCTATCGTTTTCAATACAGGAAGAGTGGTGCGTCATTCGTGACCGTGCCAACTATTTGTACCGCATCTTTTAGATCAGGGTTCTTCAAAGTTTTCCAGGTTAAAGACCCTCAAACTGAGTGGGGACCCTCCAATTATATATATTGTATGAAATGTTATATCAAACTGTTGAAGACCTCAGTTTTAGATGAGAGCCGATAAGGAACGCTTGTATCTGCCAGGTCCATGTGTGCACTTTTAGCTTGGAAAATACTGATTTTAGCTTAACGGGGTGATCTGGACCATTACAAAGTAATACAACTATTAATGGTGTTGGTAACAGTCACATGGCAGAATTTATCTGGAGTAAATGGTTACTACTGTGTCAGAAAGTTTTTTGTTGTTTTTTTTTTTGTCACAGTGGTTTCTAGAATTATTAGACAGCAGAATCTAGGCATGCTTATTTGTAGGCCTTGAACATTTCAGTTGTAATACAATTCAAAGTAAAATATTATACATGAAGAGAAAAGAGAAACAATAAAAGAAAAGAAAACAGAGAAAACAGCGTTGCAATTAAAAGTAATGAAAGGTTAGTCTACAAAATTACAATAATGATGTTTCTGTTATTTTTGAGTTGAATATTCATAGGTGACCCTAAGCATCATTATTTTTTCACCTTGATTTAGAGCAATTTAAGGGCTCCATCTGAATCGCTAAATCAATAAGGACAAGGCGGAAGTGCGACCATGGTTTTTATAATAGTGCTGGCCATGGGTGGTTCTAGATAGGGGCAAACAGGGGACAGTGCCCCTGCAGAAACGGTTCTGGCCCATGTTGCTGCCCCTGGCCTGTACCTAAGACATAATACAATAGAAATGCATAATGCATAAATTATGATATAATTTATGCATTATAATATGAGATAATACAATTTCCCCATTGTGTGACAATAAAGGGATTATCTACTCTATTCTATTGTAAATTATGATATGAGCTAAAAAAGAAAGCTTCACTTTAATTTCAGCAATTATGTCTGAATTTTATCTACTAGCTTATCTGCTGAGTTAGGTGACAAAATCAAGGTTGGCTAATGAGTTTAAGGATTTATGAACACTATGAAAAGTCTAAAATTGAAATGAGAAACAATAATGGGTTAAATATGGAAATGTTCCCATTTTTATGAATCCAAAGAATTTTTTTTTCTTTTACACAGAGAACTGTACAGTGAGATAACGAATGAAATGAATAATTTCCTGTAGCATTCTTAATGGCAATGGAGCTGATTGTGTCTGTTGGAGAACAGCTCCTGTTGTCTCTGCGGTTTAATGAAGGGGATGGGAAGACTGTGTTTACATGTTGTCATTTCTGTTCATTTATTTCCAATAAAGGAAGTGAATCAAATATTGGTCTCATGCATATGATCACTTTCTTTTATCAAATGAAAATAACTAATAATTAAATAACTTATCATTGAGGCCGTATTAGTGACTTGCTATAAGTGAGGAGACAAACACCTTTAAGCCCACCAGTAAATAAACTTGCTGTCTCTTTGACAGAATATTTGCTACCGTTGCTGTCTTCAACACTATACCATTTTAACAGTTCAAAAAGAGCCAAAACCAAGCTGTAACCAGATGTGAATGTGGTTTTGTAGTTATCTGGCTTTCTCTCTATAATTTTCTTTATTCACAAAACGAAAATGCTATTAAATTAAGCATTACAAATTAAAGAAAGCCAGAAAGGTCACTAGCATTTCAGTTATAGCCACAAGGTGGCGCATCAAGTTTCTTTCAGGAGAATTCACTTTTACTCCTGGTGCCTTTTTTTTTTTCCTTTTTACTTCATTGTGCTTTAGGTGAATGGTTCATTTCAAAAAGTGAATGGTGTCTGAAATTATTATAGCAAAGAAATAAATAGTAACTCAGTGACAATTTTTAAACTGTAGAGCTTCCAACAGAGTGATTTTTATGGTGATAATTTCAACATCTTTACTGCACTGAATTATAGCAGATACTGTGCAAGTAGCAGCTTTAAAAATGCAACTATTAATTTAAGGTGCAACTATTAATTTAAGTGAGTATTACAGAAAAATCTTGATTGGGACACCCCTACAGAACCAAAAGAAGGGTTTGCATTACAAAACTTAAACCTGGGGTCAGAGCTGCACTGTGAAATAAAGCTTAAGAGAATATTCAGTCTGGAAGACACTTATCAGCTTCACTTGAACTCCCTGTGATGTCCCTCGTTCAGCGCACCTTTTCCAAAGCCAATCATCTTGCAAGATCCCCTTCATTTAACTCCTGGCCCAGCTTGTCTGGGCCCTGTGGGAAGACTACTCTCTCCTTTTCTAGGTTACTCATCCAAATGAATGTTGATTCACAGCATTGTTGTCTTCTGCTGCGGCCAGAGAGCTGAAGAATCTATTTAGTTTATGACTTCATCTGCTTCTGTCTCCTTGAACCCTGGTCAGCCCTGACAGATGGCTGCTCACACTGAGCCTGTTTCTGCTTGAGGTTTCTACCAGTTAAAAGGGATTTTTCCTTTCCACTGTCGCTACATTGACATCAGCCAATGTGAAACATTCTAGCAGTTGTTGAATAGGGCATGTTAAAGTGCCCCCTTGGTAACCAAAACAAGCTCTGGAGTGCCCTCTTGGGAGTCCAAACGCATGTTAAAGTGCCCTCTAAGGGGGTGAATACGCGCTATATGTGCCCTTTTTTTCTTTCTGCCCTTCAAAAAGTCTGTGCACACCATTGTTGACTCATCTGTTGTTAAATTGTGTGACATGCATTTGTTGCAACGTATACTCTGAAAATGTAGGGCTACTTTCTAAGAATGGAAAATTGGAAAAACAACCAATCTACTTGGTTAAACCGATTTGGGTTAGATTAACCAATATGTTGGTCAGAGACTGACGGAGCCATTGGTTTTAGATCAGTCAATTTAATTTAAAGCCAAAAAACAAATAAAAATGGTAACTGATGGTTTTACTACTCTTACTATTTGGCTATAGTCACGTTCAATAATAATTATGGACTAAGAGAACAATTACAGTGATGTGAACATGTACACCATGCAAGTCTTGGTTTTAACCTTGGTTGTAACATACTATTAAGTAGTATTAAATTCCAATAAAGTAAGTAGTGACAGTTGCATTGG